CTGTGCTGCGTCTTCCTCTGACGAGCTCCTGGAGAACTCCACCCACGCTATCTTTAAGCATTTCAAGTTTAAGCATAAGGAGCACGGCAAGCAGCAAAAGTATTGGTGCAAGTACTGCCCCGTATCCTTTACCGGGACGGCCTACCGCTGCGCACAGCACATCACTAGTTGGGATGGTATGCGTAGGCGCGAGGTTCGGAAATGCGAGGAGGTAGGGAAGGAGGAGCAGGCTGCCGTCCGCGCGTTCCAAACCGCCAAAGTGCTCGCGAGGGAGGAGGCGCATAGGGCGGAGGAGTCGGCCCTCGACGCCGTTAGTGGTCGGGGAAAGCGGAAGATCACCGATTGCCTGTCCGATGACGCCCAAGCGGCCAAGGCGGCGGCGGACGAGGCTATTTGCCTCCTCTTTGCCGGCCTCCGCCTTCCCGAGCGCCATGCCGACCACCCGCTTTGGCGCAACGCCGTCCGGTCCATCGCGCGCGCGGGGACCAGCTATGTGCCTCCAAAGCGCGACTACGTGGGTGGTGCCGGCTTGCAGCTATGCCGCAAGCGGATTGACGAGGGATTAACGGGCGTCATGTCGAGCTGGAAGCGCCACGGCGTGACGATTGCCAGCGACATGATGACCGACAAGTGTGGCAGGCCGCAGGCGAATGTGATGCTGGTCAATGACACCGGTGCAGTGTTCGTCGAGAGTATTGACTGCAAGATGGAGAAAAAGACCGGGGGATACATCGCCCGGCTCCTCCGGCCCATCCTGCAAAAGGTTGGGGTCGAGAACATCGTGGCATTCTGCACCGATGGCGGCAGCAACTACCACAGCGCCTGCCGGCTCCTCATTGCAGAGAATCCGCGCATCGAGCATGTGCCGTGTGCGACGCACGTGCTCGACCTCCTTATGGAGGATGTGGGACGGCAGGCTTGGGCCAAGGAGGTAGTGGGGCGGGCGAGCGAGCTCATCAACTACACCCGCAGCCACCATTGGACCCGACAGTATCTCAGGGGTGTGGACGGAGGGAAGGGGCTGCAGATGCTGAGGCCGGCGGGGACCAGGTTTGGGACGCAGCACATTGCTGTGTCCCGCCTGGTGGAGTTGCGGTCAACGCTGGTGACCATGGTGCTCTGCGATGCATGGAAGGCGGAGTGGGCGGTGGGCCCAAAGAAGGCAGCTGCAGAGACATTCCACGACCAGATCATGGATAAGGACTGGTGGCCAGCGGCTGAGCTCTTCAAGAGGCTGCTCCTGCTCCCGTTCAAGGCCATGAGGGCGACGGATTCGGCAACGAAAGGGATGATGGGCCGCATCTATGAGCTGATGCTTGAGCTCACTGTGAATGTGGCAGAACTGCTGAAGGAGGAGGGGGATGGGGTGCTGAGTGCGGGAGACAAGAAGGGCGTCAATGAGATTGTGAAGCGGCGTTGGGATGAGAGTATGGCTTGCCCACTGCACGTGGTCGGGCGGATTCTTAACCCGGTCAACCAGGAGGAGCGGATTTTTGGGCCGGACACGGAGTGCACCAATGTGTTCAAAGCTTTCATTGCCCGCCACTATGGCGGGGTGATGATTCCCCAGAGGGATGGCCTGCCCAAGCGTGCCACACTCCTCCTGCAGGAAGGGTTGGCCGCCTTTCTGAAGTTGAGGGGCAGCTTCGGCACGGCTGAGGCCATCAGTGACCGGAAGTTGGTGAAGGAAGTAAGCTATTCCATGGAGGCGTGGTGGGAGTGGCACGGCACTGACCACCCCTTGCTCATGGCCCTTGCTTGCCGTGTGCTAACTCAGCCGGTGTCTGCATCCAGCTGCGAGCGCAACTGGGCGGTGTGGGATACTGTCCACACCGCCCGACGCAACCGGCTGGGTTCAGAAAAGTGCAAGGATCTGGTTTACGTTGCGCACAACTGGAAGGTTGTGCACAACTGGCACATGGCCGACGAGGGGGCGGGGGTGGTGTCCGGTAACATCCCGGACGCCCCCGTCCCTGCGGGGTACAGGGTGGATCGGGAGGAGGAGGATGAGGAGGGCGAAGATGAGGAGCTGCTGGACGAGTACCTGTAGAGCAGAGCAGGAGAGGGTTAGGCGGGCGGTTTGGGGGAGGCTTACCTGAGATGGGTGGTTGGCTGGTTGTTGGAGTTTGGAACCCTTGACATGCCCTTGGTGGCTTGAACTATTTATTAATTACCATGCTAAATGATGCCACATTTGGTGGGGGGAATTTGGTGCTCTGAACCCCCCCTCTTCCCTCCCCAAACAGGTTTTTTTTACCCCTGCCCGAGTTGTTTTTATACCTGCCCGCCAGAGCGTATTTCCTAGCGTATCCAATCCCATAATGAAGCGTACAGCGTATATACGCTAGCGTATAATACGCTTGCGTATAATACGCTGTACGCGTATTTCTCCACTTAGGCGGGTAGCAATACCCGCTTTTAGCCTAAACCGGGTCGGGTATACCCGGATCCGCCTGGCGGATATTATGTTACCTGCCATTAAGGGCCGGATCGGGGTAATGGTCCTGGGGGTATTACCCGACCCGGACCCGACCCGAAAATACCCGACCCGAGGCCGGGTATGGCAAAACCGGGTCGGGTCGGGTATTTACCTGGTTTTGCTCATCCCACTGGGAGTTCCCACCTGAAGGAACTTCGTCACTACTTAGTGCCTTGGAGAGTTAACTGTCACTCAACAGCTGCACGCACACCCACTCACGGCACAGCAAGGCGGATGAAGTTGCAAGTCGTCTTCGGCACGTAGCAAGTAGCAACGCACCACCAGCTCCTTCGTGGCATGCACCCACCCACTCATGGCGCAGCAGGGCGGATGACAACGTCAGCCTTCTTTGGCACGTGGCAGCTGCGTAGCTCTATGTCGTTGGCAGCTCCACCCAGCCACAGAAGTGGAAGGAACAGTGACTCAAACCCACACTGCCACTCCAACCCCCATACGCACACGCACACACACTCACGGCGCAAAAAGGTGGATGAAGACGTCATTCTTTCTTGGCACGTGGTAACCGGACGTCTCTCTGCCAGGGTCGCTCCACCCAGCTTAGATGAGAAGGCAACAACCACGTTACGTAAGGCCAGAGCGACAGACACAAACACACCAACTCACTCACGGCGCAGCAAGGCGGATGAAGACGTCTGTCTTTTTCGGCACGTAGTAGTGGTCCACACCTGTGACGTGCACGTCCCGGCCAGCTCCGATGAAGAAGAGCACGAGGCCCCTGCTGGCGCTCGGCATGTCGTCTGGCGCCTGTCAAAAGAAGATAGGGCGAAGAAAATGGGCAAAGAATATGATCTTTACGCACTCAACGGAGTAGGAATCACAGTGATTATTGATTCGATAAACACACAGCATGATGAAACCCACATACTCTTGGGCTAAAGAACCGCTTGCTCCAAAAGCCAAGGCGTACGAATAATCATAATCTAGTTTAACACATGTGCTCACAATAAGCGTTAGGTAATGCCACCAAACGGATTTGTCTGTAACGGATTCGTTGAGCCATCTGTGGGCTGTCACCCGCAGCACATACCCCGTCCACCAGCCCCCCGGCTCCTTCGCCCGCATGCGGTTACCCGTGTCCTTCCACCTGCAAGCGGTAAACGGGAGGGTAAGAGGGAGGAGAAGCAAGATGAGCTGGTGATAACGACACTGCTGTGGAGCCACCGGTGAGTTGTCACCAGCAGCACATACCCCGTCCACCACCCCCCTTGGCTCTTGGCGCCTTGACTCAGGTCCCGTGTCCTTCCAACTGCACGCGGTAAACGGGGAGCGTAAGAGGGAGGAGAAGAGGGGCTGTTTCGCTTACATGACGGCAAACGGCTGTAGCAGCTGCAACGGCTGAAAACTCACCCGAATTCCGCATCCGCAGTGTAAACATATCGATCCAAAGGTGTACCATGACATTTCCTCGACGTCTCGCAGCCGCTTTGCGGGAAAAGGGAGGATTGGGACGACGCTACAGTACTATTAGCCGGAAGCAGGATTGGTCGGAGCTCGAAAAAGGCCAAGTAAGCGACGGTGAGGGCGATGACGAGAGGCAGAAAGCGACGACTAAGAGCCGACTGAAGATGCCTGACGATGGCAGCAGCGCCTGATACGTGTGTACGCGACATAATGAGTTGTTCGTTAAGGATAGTAAACGCTCCTACAGAACTGCTTAATGCAGGTTAGAAAAAGCCGCATTATAAACTCGTCGTTTTTGCTAAGATTCAGAATGCATAGTATACAAGCTCAAGCCTACTCTACATATTTGACGACCGCATTGTGTCGCTTCAGGCGAAAATCCAATGCAGAAGTGTGACACTGATTCCGGATTTCAACTTGCATACTGAAAAGGACTCTCAATTTTGATTTTCCTTTTTTCCCAGGCGAGATACTGCCGTGCACGCAGTCCACCGCGACAGCGCATCACAACCTCCCATGACTACTACTCTGGAACGCCTTAGCTGCTAAGCCTAGCCTAGCCTAGCCGCCTTACTCGGAAAAAAGTACAGCGCTCGGAAGGAATTTTTTTACTGGAACTAAGAAGGAATCTGCGGCTGGAATGGTGGTCCGGAGTAGGGCGTATTGTTTGCGATGGTCCAGAATCAAGGTACAGACCCATATTGGCACGAGGTGAAGGCCTGGTAACCGGAGCTCCACTTGTTCGACACGAAGTTGATACCGAAGCCGTACCTCGAGGGTACACTGAACAGTTTCGAATTCGACAAGCGTGACGGAAATCCGAAGACTTCGATGGACTTGGGTTTGGGATTTCTTCCGCCCTCCAAAGGTGATACAAGCAAAATTGGAACTTATGACACTTTCATGCATGCTAAGTGCATTGTGCAAAATTAATGAAGAACACGGGACCTGTATAAAAACGATCTGTATGGTTATCCCACGTGTGAATAGCAGGTGCACTTGCCGTCTATCTCATCACACCCAACGTATTTGCCATTTATTGTTGCCAGGCTGTCAAGGCGAGAACAGACGCTTATTTGAGGCTAAAAGGGCTTCAATAACACAAGGGATCCCTTCATTGCAGATTGCAAAACCAGCTTGCAATTATGTGTAGATCGCGTATTTGGACGCAACCTCACATCCAGACCGGGACGCGCAGAGGAATTTACCCCAAATGCCGCATTTCGATGTGACTACTAGCTTTGCACTATCCATTGCAACACACTACTATGGCAAGCTTATGCAAAGAGGGTCAAGCAAGCTGTGCTATTACAGGGGGCAAAGGGAAACGTGTTTGGTGCTATCATGGCTTCAGTGGTGAGAACGAAAGGCTTGTGGAAGGGCCCATGCTTGAAATCAACTTCAATGAACAGTGCTCGATAGCCCACCTGAGCAGATGAGCAGGAGAGGAGTAAACATGGGAGGCAGGGGGTCAAAAGAAGAAAGGGAACGAGGAGAGGAGGACAGGGTGGGAAGACGAAATCAATACAGCCCCAACAGAGGCATTGAGAAAATTCACTTCACTCACCTTGGGAATGTCTTGGATTGTGGAGGTGAAGTGCCAGAGACCATCTGGCTGCACTGTAGGCGGTGTGACTGTGTGCAGGAGGAACGGGATGGGCTGCACGCACAGTGTGCCAAACGTTGCCACATAGTCGGGAGGTGGAATCTTGAAGGGAACGGTGCTGGAGAGGGGGGGAGCAGGGAGAATTGAAGGAAGAAATGCATCGCCACGAAACTCCAACAAGGAAAGATTCTTTACAGGAACAGTGCTCGAGAGCTAATGAGGGGCAGGAGAAGGAATTTGTTGGAGATAAGTGGGAGGTGAGAGTGGATGATATGAGGTGAGAGTGGATGATATGAGGTGAGAGTGGATGCCATGCGGTGTGAGTGGATGATATGCGGTGAGAGTGGATGATATGCCCATCATCAAGCATCCATCACACACAGACAGACCCCGTACAAAGTACAACACCGCATGCACATGACCCACTGACCAAAATCACAATACTGGAGATAAGACGGATTATACACAAGAAAAGAAACCTCTCTTTTCCAAAAGACAGTTCACGCACCACCCTGTTAGCCCCTGCTTGACTCTGAACGGAAGTCCCTGTGCCTCCCGCCCTGAATATGCATTCTCTCCTGGTGGGAAAGTTCCCTCTTGCAAGCCTCACCAGCGTGCTGGAAACTGCTCAAGCCTCTTGCTTCACCCCCTCACCACCCCGTCTGCCCCTGCTTCACTCTAAACCGCAAGTCCCACGCAAACACATTGACCCTAGAGCTGTCGGCCTCTCGTTCACTCACCACCCTGTGATTCCCTGCTTGACTATGAACCGGAAGTCCCTGCGCTTACTGCCCGGAAAGGTGCGCCCTGTCCTGCAAAGTGGGAGAGAGAGAGAATGTAAGACTGAGAAAACGCTTTCCACCGTAAAGAACGATTCCTTGCATCACTTTATAATGAGTCAATATCCCTACATGACACGCAGTCCCTTGATTACATGCAACCCCCTGCCTTACCCCATGCCTGAACCATTGGCATGGAGGTTCCTTGAGTCGACTTAGCTGGCTAGGTGATGCTTTATACATTCCAAAAACAACACTTTGGAGTCAACAGCCCTTTCTTTTCGTCAGCCATGCAGCATCCAATCCTACAGGCCATTCTTCACCCCTTTCCCCTGCCCCTCCCCATCCCCATCCCCATCCGCCTCCCCACCCCATCCCGCCCACTCCCCTCCCCTCCAGCCGTCTCTCCCTTCCCCTCCCCATCCCTCTTGCCATCCCCCGCCCCCCTACCCCCCCACCCCCCTACCCCCCACCCCCCTCTCACCACGCTCTAACAGCCAATGGCTTCCTGTCTGACGTGGCATGGATGGTGAACGTGGGCCAATCAAACCGCCACCTCAGCTGAGGCCAGTCGACAGCTGGCAGCTTCGGAACGCAGCCCCAAGGGGTGGGCTGTACTGCTGCCGCCACTGCGGCTGCCTCAGCGTCTTGAAAGCCAGACGTTGAGCCAACATGGGGGAGGTCGCTCAGAAAGGCACGTGTAGTAGGAGTGTTGGAAGAAGGTTGGAGGTTGAGGGAGGATGCGGTGGTGGGGGTGGTGGGGGTGGTGGGGGTGGTGGCGGTGGTGGGGGTGGTGGGGCGGGTCCAGGTGAGGGAAGGGCGGGAGGAGGCGGGGAGAGAGGCACAGGAGGAGTTGGCGTGGAGGAGAGAGGAGAGGAAGGAAATGGACGCATCGTAGGCCTGCAGAGAGGGGGGGGGGGGAAGAGGGGACAAAGGGAAGGGGAGCCGATAATCAGAGAAGAGCAAGGAGATGGGAGGTTGACGGAGTGATGCACGTGTGCATCAGCCTTTCTGCTGTGCAAGAGCCTTTGGCGTGAGTGAGTGTTTTGAGGCCTCTCAAAACATGGCTATTCTGGCAAATACGTTTGGAGTGAGTGAGGAGACAGCAGAAGCTTAGTAGATGTCAACAGAGTGGGAATAGACATCTGAATGACCGTATGGTCGACGTTGGCAACCATCTTGAGGGCGAATGAGAAATGTGAATAGGAGAGACACGGTACAGCCAGTGCAAGAAGGAACAGCAGAGGCACAGGCACTGGGCCGCACGTACCCACCGGGCCGCACGTACCCACCGGGCCACACGTACCCACCGAGCCGCACCGCACGTACCCACCGAGCCGCACCGCACGTACCCATTGGGACATCTGGATGACCATGTGGTCGAGGTTCGCAACGATCTTGAGCAGCGCAGGAGCTGGAAGGTCCTGGAAATAATAGTACCTGGCGCATTGAACCAGCAGGGGTGAAAAGGAGTGTGTGAGTGATGTTATGGAGCATGTGCGTGGTCCTCAATACACTTTGCCTGGCGAGAGGAAGCGGCAGATGTGAAAGCGCGTATGGCTAAAAACAGTAAGAATCAAAGGAGCGGGCGAGTGTCGCTATCGGGCGAGTGAGCGGGACATGAGCAAGTGAAGTGTCACTAGCGGGGATGGCCCCATGGCCCTACCAGTCATTCTCGGAGAAGGAAGCATCACTGCAGGCAGCAATGGGCAGCAATGTGCAGTAATGGGCAGCAACGGGCAGCAACGGGCAGCAACGGGCAGCAATGGGCAGCAATGGGCAGCAATGGGCAGCAATGGGCAGCATTGGGCAGCAATGGGCAGCAATGGGCAGCAATGGGCAGCAATGGGCAGCAGTGGGCAGCAACGGGCAGCAACGGGCAGCAATGGGCAGCAAGGGGCAGCAAGGGGCAGCAATGGGCAGCAAAGGGCAGCAATGGGCAGCAATGGGCAGCAATGGGCAGCTTGGGCATAGTCTCTCATGGAGCTATGGAGGTGTTCCGTGTCACTAAAAAGGATGGTACGATAGAGCACTAGATAGGATCTCGTACATGCCACTAAAGGGGATGGGCTCACGAGTCGTCCATGGAGAAGAACTCGTCGTTGGAGGCGGAGATGAGCAGCTTGGGCATCGTCAGACGGTCCCGGAAGAAATACGGGTCCGTGTAGCTCTGGGGGGGTTGAATGGACCCGAGGGGAGAGGACGAGGGGGGAATTTCATTGGGGCCAAAATGGAAAATATGGGTCTGTGTGGCTCTGGTGGGTGTGTTAAGGTGGGGGCGGGGGGGAGGGGAGTAGGGAAGACGACAAAGAGTGCAGCATGACGTGATGTGCACTGTGCACTCGCCCCCACCTGGTGTATTGCATGTCCTGACCAGCTTCGTGGCTTCTGATCGGCACACTGCCGAACTCAGAGTTATCATTGGTTGGTTGTGCTTCTTATTACATGTTCTGACCCGCTTCGTGGCTTCGTGACCTGTTGAAGCCCTGCAGCACCCCCCCCTCTGGTGTGACAATGCCAGCATGTTTCAATTAACCAGGAAAGAGTCTTGTTTTAAGATCGTTTGGAACTTTGAGCTTTCTCTGTCACTTTCTCGTGGTTCACAATGCTGATGCCTCGAGTCTCGACCAACCTTGCTGACATCTTCAGCAAGGTCCTCCTGCGGATTTCGCACATTCTGATCTGATCTGATCTGATCTGATCTGATCCGAGAGTCATTCGCAGATAGCTCCACCAAGGCCCTTGCACACCTCTAACTCGACTCGAACTGACCCCCTCCTTCCACCCCCTTCCCCCTCCCTCTTCCCCCCCCCCTCCCCCCCTCCCTCCTCCCGCTCACCATGATTCGGTGCAGCTGTGGCGAGTGCAGCATGCGAGTGAGGTTGTAGTCCACATACGACCTGCCCATGATGGGCACGGCGCCCACGGAGTCTAGAAGATGCTGCATGTTGGGCTCAAAGTTGATGAGATCGTAGCCGTAGGATATGAAGGCAACCACTCGCTGCAGGGAATAGGGACAATGGAAGCAGTAGGTAAGGGTGATAAGGTAGGTAGTCAGAACGAGGAAAGGTAAGGCGAAATACATTAGGATAAGATTGTGCTGAGGCCATTGGCAAGATGATGGGCAAGGAGAACGATGATACACATTTTTTAGTCGACTCTTGAGTTTTGAGTCGACTTATAAGTCAAAATTCGTTTTTGAGAAGACTCAAAACCCTAAGGCCATCAGGAAGATGATACGCAATGAGAAGGATGATACCCTTTGGGAAATCCGATGCACAAATAAACACGATCGCAGTCACCTGTCCTATTAAAAAAAAAGGGTGCGCACGGACATAATACATATATGGCTGCCTCGTGGAAAGACGCAGCAGGGATGGGGTGCACAATGGAGAAGGACCTGCCTTGTCAAGAACAGCAGAGAGCCACGCCATGCATGCTCGCTTGCTCACGCCGATAGTCACAAACGCTTCCACCTGGCGGGGGACGCAGGGGTGGGGAATCATACGTGAAGAACCGACCCTTTGTGCAACTCACGCCGCTAGTCACGAACCATTCCACCCGGCCGGGGAGAATGGGGGGGGCATGAACGAGACGACGAGAGAGGGGTGCAAGGGGTGATGAGAGGGGTGCAAGGGGTGATGAGAGGGGTGCAAGGGGTGATGAGAGGGGTGCAACGGGTGATGAGAGGGGTGCAACGGGTGATGAGAGGGGTGCAAGGGGTGATGAGAGGGGTGCAAGGGGTGACGAGAGGGGTGCAAGGGGTGATGAGAGGGGTGCAAGGGGTGATGAGAGGGGTGCAAGGGGTGATGAGAGGGGTGCAAGGGGTGATGAGAGGGGTGCAAGGGGTGAGCGGGAGGATGAAAGAGATGGCAATGGTGAGAGGGAATGCAAGGCAGCATTCATCCATCACCCATCCAGAGACCATTCACATCGCGCCAAACCTGACTACCAGCCCTCACCCAGCAAAGGGTCATGGAACAGAGTCAAGCTCACCGGCACATGTGGCAGCATCTCTCTAACCGCCAGCTGCACGGCATCCATGCCTCGGATGACAGACTTGGCCATGGGCATGTAGATGGGCCACTCGGGCGTGCTGGTGTCGTGAATGGCCATCGCGAGGGAGACTGTTGGAAGAGGCGAGAGAGGGGAAGGGGAGGGGAAGGGTCGAGGGAAAGAGAGAGGCGTGGGTGGGTGGATGGGCCACTCGTGCGTGGTGGGGTGGTGAAGGGCCATGGCACGGGGGACTGTTGGACGAGGGCGGGGGGAGGAGAGAGGGAATGAGAGTGATGCCACTGGCAGGTGGGCCAATCCAGGGGGCTTGTTTCGTGAAGGGCCATGGCAATGGCAAGGGTGCCGTTGAGAGAGAAAAGAGGTAGGGGAGGGGGTTGGGGAAGAGGGGCGGGCGAGATGGGACAAGGGGTTGACGCCATGGGCGGGTAGATAAGCCACTCGGATGTGCGTGGGTTGTGAAGGGCTACGGCAAGGGTGGCTGGGGTGTGGTTGACGGCAGTGGGGGAGAGAGGAAGGGATGGAGTCTTTGTGAGCCCCACAGCGCACAGCGCACTTTGTGAGCCCCACAGCGCACAGCGCACTTTGTGAGCCCCACAGCGCACAGCGCACTTTGTGAGCCCCACAGCGCACAGCGCACTTTGTGAGCCCCACAGCGCACAGCGCACTTTGTGAGCCCCACAGCGCACAGCGCACTTTGTGAGCCCCACAGCGCACAGCGCACTTTGTGAGCCCCACAGCGCACAGCGCACTTTGTGAGCCCCACAGTGCACAGCGCACTTTGTGCACCCCACAGCGCACTACAGCCAGTGCATTGCACGGGCTTGTTCTTGGAACTATTGCGAACCAAGTGCTTGCATGCAGTGGCCATGGGCGTATTTCAGATCAAAGGAGAAAACGGCTCCAATCCAATACAGACAGGCGGGGGCCATGTTCGTGAGCAACACCTAAGGGTATAATTTGATGTACTTTACTGGGCCATGGTTGAGGAATCTATTTTTGAGGCGCCTCAAACACATTTGAGGAGTCCTCACACATTTGATGTCCTTTACTGGGCCATGGTGGCGGGATTGTGGCTGAGAAAAATACAGCCTTATCTGCAACACCCCGATAGCTTATATGCGATGTGAATATATCCGCGGATTCTGTATCTGAATTGCAACAGAGAGGTAGTAGTATGCGTTTGTTGTGCTGATTTGCGTGGTACGACGATAGAATGGACTCACTATAACCCGACTCGCTTACAGGATGTGATCTCTTCTTCCACTAGCTTTCGGCTTTTGTTGCTGCTGATGCCAGGCGGGCTGGAGTAGAAGGTGACGGGCATCATGGGCACCTGGTGCAGCATCACGCCTAGGATTCCGAGGTCCACCACCAGACTGCAGCGCAGAGAGCAGCGCAGAGAGCAGCGAAGAGAGCAGCGAAACCCAGTATGGAAGAAGGGGAAGACACAAGATGTGGAGTAGGAGATTGAGAAGTAGAGGTGGATGGGCATCTGGTGCAGGATCACACCCATTTTTCCCAGATTCACTATTAAACTGCACGTGGGACACGGGCGATTGGCACACGGAAAGGAGGAGAATCTGATGGGCATCCCGCGCTGCTGGTGCAGCACGACGCCCAGGACGCCAAGATTGACCACGAGACTGTAATGAGGGCACAGCAGGGGAAGAGGGGAAGGGAATGGGCGTTGAGCCCATACTGTCACTGAATGCACCCCCCCCCCCACCACACGCACACGCACTCACGGCGCAGCAAGGCGGATGAAGACGTCATTCGTTTTTGGCACGTGGTAGGCGCGCTCGCCTCTGCCGTGCTCGCTCCACCCAGCCCCAACGAAGAAGAGCACGAGGCCCTTGCTGGCGTTCCGCATGTGGTCTGGCGCCTGGCGGGATGGAGGGAAAGGAGGGAGGGGAGAGAACGAGGGGAACGAGGAGAGATGGAGGAGGAAACATGAGTAACAGTAGAGCCAGTCTCAATGGAAACGAGCACGAGGCCCTTGCTGGCGTTGAGCATCAGCATGCCGTGCCGTCTGGCGCCTGCTACGGTGAGAGGAAGGGCGGCTAAAAGAAGTTCATTGAATTGAAACGTTCAATCTGAAGCGTTCAATCTGAAGCGCTCAATCTGAAGTGCTCAATCTGAAGCGTTCAATCTGAAGCGTTCAATCTGAAGCGCTCGATCTGAAGCGTTCAATCTGAAGCGCTCAATCTGAAGTGCTCAATCTGAAGCGTTCAATCTGAAGCGTTCAATCTGAAGCGCTCAATCTGAAGCGCTCAATCTGAAGCGCTCAATCTGAAGCGCTCAATGTGGAGCGCTCAATCTGAAGTGCTCAATCTGAAGTGCTCAATCTGAAGCGCTCAATCTGAAGCGCTCAATCTGAAGCGCTTAATCTAAGGCGCTCAATCTGAAGCGCTTAATCTGAAGCGCTCAATCTGAAGGGGAGGCTTCGGCGCAAGGTATCCACCCGCACCCCGGTGGCGAGGAGCACCTCGGTGACGAGGAGGGCACGAGAGCCCTGCTGGCAATCGGCTTGTCGTATGGCGAAGGAGAAAGTGAGTTGGCAGGGTGTGAATCCTGGGCCGGGAGAATAGAGCTGACCATGAAAGTGCGCACCATGCGCACCATGCATAGCGCACCATGCGCACCATGCATAGCGCACCATGCGCACCATGCATAGCGCGCCATGCGCACCATGCATAGCGCACCATGCGCACCATGCATAGCGCACCATGCACACCATGCATAGCGGACCATGCGCACCATGCATAGGGCACCATGTGCACCATGCGCATGCATAGCGCACCATGCGCACCATGCATAGCGCACCACGTGCACCATGCATAGCGCACCATGTGCACCATGCGCACCATGCATAGCGCACCATGCGCACCATGCGTACCATGCACACCATGCATAGTGCACCATGTGCACCATGCGCACCATGCATAGCGCACGATGCGCACCATGCATAGCGCACCATGCACACCATGCATAGCATACCATGCATAGCGCACCATGTGCACCATGCGCACCATGCATAGCGCACCATGCGCACCATGCGTACCATGCGCACCATGCATAGCGCACCATGTGCACCATGCGCACCATGCATAGCGCACCATGTGCACCATGCGCACCATGCATAGCGCACGATGCGCACCATGCATAGCGCACGATGCGCACCATGCATAGCGCACCATGCGCACCATGCATAGCACACCATGCGCACCATGCATAGCGCACCATGCATAGCGCACCATGTGCACCATGCGCACCATGCATAGCGCACCATGCATAGCGCACCATGCATAGTGCACCATGCGCACCATGCGTAGCGCACCATGCAGAGCGCAGCATGCGTAGCGCAGCATGCGTAGCGCAGCATGCGTAGCGCAGCATGCGTAGCGCAGCAACATGATGATGTGGAAAGAGTGAGGGTTGGCATCATGGTGTGGTGTACCGTGTGTTACTCCAACAGATCTGGACCACTGTCTCACCCACGAGCCAATGGGTGTGTGGATAATGTATTTCAGATTAACCCTGTGCTTACAATAAGCGATAGATAATGCCACCAAACGGATCTGTCTGTAACGGATTCGTTGAGCCACCGCTGAGTTGTCACCCGCAGCACATACCCCGTCCACCACCCACCCCGCTCCTTGGCTCGCATGCGGTTACCCGTGTCCTCCCAGCTGTCAACAGCAGCACAGAGAGAAGTAGGGAGGGGAGAGGGCAGTCAGCAAGATGGTTTGTCACCAGCAGCAGCAGCACTCATCCCCTCCACCCCACCCCCCCCCCCCCGTACTTGGATAGCATGCGGTTACCCGTCTCCTTCCACCCGTAAGAAGTAAACGGGAGAGTAAGAGGGCGATAAGCAAGAGGGGCCGCTTCGCTTTGAAAACGGCAAATGGCTGCAGCAGCCGCAGCAACGGTTGAAAACTCACCTGAATTCCGCATCCGCGGTATAAACATATCGATCCAGCAGTGTACCGTGACAGCTCCTCGCCGCCTCGCAGCCGCTTTGCGGGAAAAGGGGCGATGCGAATCCAGAAGAATCTACAATAGATCCGGGAAGCAGGGTGGGTCGGAGCTGGAAGATTGCTAAGTAAGTGATGGTGCTGAGCGCGATGAAGACAGGCAGGACGCGACGACTGCTAAGAGCCGACCGTAGATGCCTGACGATGACAGCGGGGCTTGGAGCGTGAGTACGCGACATAATGAGCTGTCCGTTAACAGATTGTGAACCTGGGGCAAGTGTTTTACAGTTGGTTGGGAAAAACCAGGTTTTGTGTCGTGAGGGTGCGTGAATTGCAACACTCGCAGGCGATTTCACTGGTGCCTACAGCTCGCCGGTCAATCAGTAGTTCTAGTCCCAACCAACTGTTTTACAGTTGGTAAACTTGGGTCCCTGGCTTTACGTAACCGCCGCTAGATTTGGACCGTTAAGAATGACTACAACCCGTCGTTCTCGGCCGATTCCATAAATTCGGTGTCTTTATGTAAGACCGCGTTGAGTTGGTTTTCGAGACCCAATGCAGGTGACCCTCATTCTAATTTTCGACCCGCATAGCTAGAGACTTCTTACCTAAGTCGCTATTTCAAAACCAGGCGAGCCGCAGCCACCCGCGGCAGTGTATAGCAGCGAGAGACAGAAGCGCTTTCCACGAGAAACATTCCATTGCTTCTCTCGGAATCTGTCTTGCTCACTGGAACTCTCGCTGACTGGAACTCTTGCTGACTGGAACTCTTGCTGACTGGAGACTGAGGTTGCATTACTGGTCACCAGTCTAGCTTCTAGTCTAGCCAAGTGGCCAGCTTCCAGAGTGGTTCAGAACTCTGCGCGCTTTTCTAGAGCGGTTTAGAGCTCTGACCCGGGACAAGACAAGAAGCTTGGCTGGCGGCCGGAAACACTCCCTGAGGGCTTGTCACTAAAGTACAAGGTCTGTTCAACAGGAGTTCAGTTACCACTTTTAGGTGTGTAACCATAAAACATGCCCGAACAAGTCACGCCCAGCTCACACCCGAAACCAGCGGACACCAGCGCACATTTCCAGGCACCTCCGCACGACAAGAAAAGACCACACAAAAATCCAGTTTGCCAACTGGTACCAGCAGCACCTCTAGCGAAATTCTCTAGCGACACTTTGCAGTCTCGCACGTCGCTAACGAAGAACCTACCCCCGCTGCGCCGACCGGCCCTCATTTGTTACACGCGCATCGCGCTGGTCTCGCAGGTGGGACCCCGTTACCTGCTCCTATGTCTGTGCTGGTCTCGGTGGTGTCCTTTCGAACTGCACCCTTCATTCGGACCTGTTCCCAAATCGGGATCTGTTTCAAAATCGATTCACATTGCGTACCGTCAAACGGCCCCGCCGGTCAAAAACGGGTACACGATTTATTGTGACACGCCCTGACTTTCGAGGTGTCTGAAGTACCCACGAGAATCTTTCAAACCTTCCCTGGCTGCTTCCCTAGGAGCGTCACCCTAAGCTGCAGATCGACGATCTGATGGCTGTGGGCGAGCCCAGATTCCAAATTATTCCACCTGAGTCAAGGGGAGGCAGGTGGGCGGGCTAGCCACAACTAACGGCGTGTCATAAGCGTTCACTTTGGGGAAATGACACGGGAATGATGTCCTGCGGTACTGTTCAGATGACTGTACCGAAAATCGAACAAAACCGGTTGTGTGTCCAATAAGAGACCACGCCATTCTAGTGGACTCCAAATTTTCGTCACACGACAAATGTTTCCTCCGTGCGAGTAACAGAAAATGACGAGAATAATGACGAGGAAAAGAGGAGCGCCAGCTGAGATGAACGTTTTTCACACGTCTTGTTGCACGTACACTGCATAGCCCCTTCAGGCGAACCCCGTAGTGTTTATGTTATGATATAGGAAGTGTCAATAAAATATAACGTGAGAATACAAGGTCGCTGTTGCAATGAAGGCACGCGGTTATATAGGGGTTGGCATGCTAGGGCGATAACCTCAGAACGTGGGTAGATTCGGCAATGTGGCTACAGTGTCGGACGCGGCGCGGGAAATGGTCGGGCTGACAAATGAGGCCGAACGTGACAAGTCGAGGAGTTTGGGTGTACGCGCTAACGTACAACTCAGTAAGGAATGGAAATTCCTTACATTACACCCCCCCCCCCCCCCCCCCCCCCTAAACAAGGCCGCGGCCATCGGAAACATTCCGACGCTGATAATACGGTGTTAGAATCGGGTGTGATTCTATATCAGCGAGGGGCACCCAGCTGTCATCCTCCGACGTTCGATCGCGCCATCTGACGAGAAAATATACCATCAAACGGTTCTGCTGCGTTGTGACTCGATGACCGAGAATCTTCAGAGGCTCGGTCGTCGGTTCTTGCTAGGGCGTCACGTGCGGTATGATGCGTTGACGTGCCAAATCCGACGAACTTGGGACGTAGGGTTATAGGAGGCTGACGTGGAAAGCCGGGTGGTGACGCCAATCAGTCGGGAGTCGGAGGTGAGCTGTGATAGGTGTTACCATATTGGTCACTTGAAAAGGGCCAGAAAAATGGGGTCGGTGTTTGCTCTGGATCGGCAGACACAAATCACGAGTGTCGAGTAGTACGAGATCCCCCACTTTGTAGCTGACGTCACGTCGATGAGGATCGGCTTGTCGGCTTGCGACTAGGTTGCCTTTCCGGATTGCCTCAGCTGCTTTTCTTTGGGCTGCGAGAATATCTTCGGCGAATCGCTGGGACCGGGGAACGGGTGTCTCGATGTTTGGTGTAGAGGGTACCACTGGGTCTTGTGCGTGATTGAGGAAAAAATGGGGATTGATGGGTTGTTGCGGAGGGCGCGTTCTTATACGCGAATTCCAGCAGCGGAAGGGATTTCTCCCATGTCCGTGGGTTAGTACAGGTAGTCCGAAGTAGTTGATACATAGTTTGGTTGACTCCTTCAGTCAGCCCGTCAGTCTGTGGGTGGTAGGCAAAGGAAAACTGTAGTTTGGTGCCGAATCGGTCCCACAGGTGGCGCCAGAAATTCGATGTGAATTTCGGGTCTCGAACTGAAATAATGCGGTGGGCAGTCCGTGCAGTCTGATGACGTTGGCGATGAACAGTTGGGCAGTTTGCTCAGTTGCAATTTTCTGTTGGCAGGGCGCACCATTTTCGTAAGTTGGTCAATGACCACGAGGATGGCGTTGTTTCAGCTGGGACCGGCTGGCACCCCCGTCACGTAGTCCATCGTGACATATTGCAAAAGTCTCTCAACCAAATCCAACAGCTGTAGGAGTCCCGCTGCTCGCTGATGGGATGTTTTCATTATCTCGTAGGCGGTGTAGGAGGACACGTATTTGCGCACGTCGTCGGCCATGTTCAGACAGTAATAATTGCGCTGCAACGTCTTCATGGTTTTGTCGACTCCAAAATGCGTGGAGGTAGGATTGTCGTGGGATTCTTGGACTAACAGGGTACGAAGTAAATCGTAGCCGGGAACCCAAATGCGTGAAGTGTCGCGTTTATGGAAGTAGTGTCCGGTAGCGGTAGTATGCTGTTGGTGAATGGCGGAGTGGAAGAATGGGTCGATTTTGAAGTCGTGGGTAAATAGTCCGGTAAGGATTGGGCTATTATGGGTGACTAGTATGGCGGCTGTATGGGCAGTGGGTCAGGTCAGGGCATCAGCAATGTTGTTGGTACCCCGTTTGTAGGTGATGGTGTAGTGGAAGTTTGATTCGAGGAAATCGAGCCATCGGATCTGTCGCGGGTTGAGATTCGGCTGGGCTCGCACGTATTGTAGGGATTTGTGGTCAGTTCGCACAGTAACGTAAGCGCCTCTCAGGTAGCATCGCCAGGTCTTGAACGTGTGGACGATCACCAACATTTCCTGGTCGTGTACTGCATAATTTTCCCCTGCACCCTACAGCTTCCGTGATTCGTAGGCGACCGGTTGTAACCCTTTGCCGAAATCCTGTAGAAGAACTGCGCCGATGGCGATGTCGCTAGCGTCGATGATGACTTCGTATGGACGGTCAGGATCGGAGATGCGAAGGACGGGCGACGACGTGAGGGCGATCTTTAGTTGGTCAAATGCAGCGTGCTGCTTTTCTCCCCACCAAAAACAATTGTGATCTTTGAGTCGGTCAGTTAGCGGGACGGATAACACAGCCATATTGGGGATAAATCGGCGGACGTAATTGACGAAGCCAAAAGAACTCTGCAGCTCCTTGACATTGCAGGGCGGCTTCCATTCTTAGATGGTCTTGATTTTCTTTGGGTCGATTTTCACTCCTTTTGTAGAAACGATGTGGCGATAAATTCAAACTCCTACTTAAGAAAGTCGCACTTAGACCCTTTGGTGATGAGTCGGTTCGTGTGCAGTAGCGTGAAGACTCCATCAAGATCCTTTAAATGCTGTAGATTAATATATTGCTGAGGTAGATGATGACTCATTTGTCCAAGAGTTCCCTAAAAATTCCATTTATGGTCATTTGGAAGGTCGAGGGCGCGTTTGTAAGGCCAAAAGGCATCATCAGGCACTCGTAGCTGCCGTATCGGGTTCGGAATGCCGTCTTGAGACAATCTTTGATGGCGACGTGAATCTGATGGTAACCTCCTCGCAAATCAATCCTCAAGAAAAACCTGGTGCTGCGAAGTTTGTCGAGAAGTTCGTCGGCTCGCGGGATCAGCTAACATGACTTGATGGTGATCTGGTTGAGCGCGCGGTAGTCAATGCACATTCTGAATCCTTCGTCATTCTTTGGCGTGAACACTATCGGGGGGCGTATGGTAACGTGCTGGGCCGGATAAAACCTTTTGTGAGAAGGCAATCCAGCTGCTGGTATAATTCTTCTAGTTCCAGTTGGCTGAGCCGAAATTGGCGCTGTACCGTTGGATGGGCGCTTGGTTCCAGCTCGATTCGGTGGTGCTCAGGTCGGCTCGGCGGGAGTCCAGCTAGCAGGTCATCTGGAAAAATGTCAAGGTATTTCCGAATCAGGTCCGCTAAGTCCGGAGGGACGACCTTGCACAACTTCTCGACATCTTCATTCTCGACTGTCGATGCCACCTCGCGAAGATCAACGATATATGCTGCAGCTCCAGCCTTCATCGCGCGCTTAAATATGATCACATGGACTTGGATGTTTCGCATGCGAGGCCCACATGGGCAGCTTGCGGGAAAGTCCATTGAGCTTGATGCTGCAGCCGCCTGTCGTCTAGTCGATCTTCGGGTTGTACCGTCGCAACCAATCATGTCCCAGCAGCACATCGCACCCGTCAAGAGTCATCGCCAGTAGCCCCATGCAAAATTTTACGTGCTCACTACAGGTAAAACTGACATTCTCCACCCGCTCTCGTATTGCTAGTGACATTGCACCCACCAGTCGGGCGTCGATTTCAGGTAAACACTTGAGTAAGGGAATACCCTGTTTTTTAGCCCTGTCCAGTTGTATGAGACTGTGACTCCGCCTCCATCAATGAATATCTTCAATGACCCCCCGTTTACTTTACTCTCCACCAACATAGGGTTATCAACAGTTTCGTCCCCCTTATTCGTCCGGGTCTGGTCGATTGCAGTAATCGGGATCACGACCCGGTGGGGACTGTGTGGTTCGGGCGAAGAAGCTTGCTCGTTAGTAAGGGGCCCGGTACTTACTACCACGACCCATTTTCCGGTCGCTCCTCCAGCTTCTTCCCCATAGAATTCTGGACGGTTATGAATTCTTGGCAGTTGCGTCAGATGTGACCCGGCCGGCCACAGTGGTAGCATAGCCTCGTATTTCACGG